TGTAGAATTATTTAATTTCGATACTTGGCACCCTGTTACATTGCATTAAATTTGATATATTAATTAATATCGATCTTCCAAATTTTATGAAATGGCGACTGAGGGTCACCTCTCGAGTGCAAAGGATTAATCATTGCTTTGTACCTTCATTCACTGTTATTGGGACTGTTCGGTAGTTCCTCGAGCACTATTCGCCTCTCACAAGATACTAATAAGGAGGAATGGATTTAATCTGAACCCGAATTGCAGAGAATAAATTTTGATTAAATAGCGTACCGGAATACTTTTCCATATTATTTGTTCGGGTTAGTTTTGAAAGTAACACGAGACGAGTGAAAGGAAATTAAACTCGCGTACTGGAATATACAGCGGGATGTTTTCGGTCTCGTCGTACGAGGAAATTCATTGACGATACTTCACGAGACGCGTTCTTTTTACCATACTTAATGGTACATCGCATACTCGGCCCCAAAGTATTCCTTTTTCCCGTGTGCTTCGAGGCAGTATCGAAAACGTTACATTGTGCGTCCTCGGACACCAAAAAGGCGGGTCACTTTCCATACCGGCGTGCTTCGAAGTGTTAATCGAATTTTATGGAATCAGAGTCGAGTACCACCTTTCACTCGGATCAATTAGCCCCGTATTTCTCTGATCGCAAAGAAATTGCCCGTTAATCGAGTTCGCTCGAGAGAGGAGAGCGCGGCTCAGAGTCATCAACCTTCCACGGGTAGAAGGGTCGCGTTGCAGAAGACATTGTTCCATTGATCGATGGCGCAGGCAGCTCTGCAGATGCGCAAAAAGGCGGAAGGACGAGGACGGAATTACGCAAGCGACTGCACGCGAGATGACGAGCAGAGGAGGAAGCGGAATCCCTGTGTTACAGATTCCCTTCCGGTTGTGCAACTGGTTACACGCCTATTTCAGCCCTGCTGCACCCGCTGCCTCCACCAAGGGCCCGCAGTTCTCGTTTTTTAATAGATGGGCGAAAGGGAAGAAAGGGAAGGGAAAGGGAGGAGAAAAAACGGGAACGAAGGAACGGTGCAGCGGTTGCCTCGATGTCTGTCGACAAACGCCGACAGTTTTTCGGTCCCTCGAGTGTCCATGCACGAGCAGGAGGGAATACAAATGCAGGAAGTTACGCATCCTGTGCGATCGATCTATCGTTCCTGCTTCGGCCTTTATTCGACCGGTCCTGGACACTCGAGACGCGGATAGACGGAGAACCTTGATCTCGAGATACTCGGCTACGCTTTGCTCCTATTTTGCATCGCGAAATGGGACGCGATGAGTGCAAGGCAATTTCCAAGATGGCAACTCTTCCAAGATCATCTTTGACAACGAATTATTCGCCTTCCTTCCTGTACCTGTACTTGACTCGAAATCGATATCTCCATTGAATCGCGTACGATTCGCAACGTCAGAAGAAGACGTTGATCTTTCACCGAGGCGATCATTATAGAATACGTCGTGAGAGATAACGTTAATGAGGTGTGAGAGTGTTTACCAACGCTTTGTTAGCAAGCTGCGCGGTGTATATGGTGATTCTGTTAAATAAGAGAACGAGGAAGATCACTCCAGTTTCGTTGGACCGTGAGAATTCACGGCCGGGTGGAAAAAGGAGGAAACCACAGGGTATCCACGATGACGATGATTCGGGGCAGAAACGAGGCCGAGCCAGGCGGGAGGAGGTTTCTGGAAAAAGGGTTGCGCCTTCCTTCCGCCGGGTCGAACCGGTCTTTCTTTCGGAATTGATTAAAACTCGCGGCAGGATGAGGCGATAGTCGAGGTTGTATAAATACACCGGTGGAAAAGGCAGCAATTTCGCAGAGCAAATCGCTCTCGGAGAATCCGCGGATATGTCGATCGGATGGACCTTGCTGGCTTTATTAACACGGATTTAGATTTACGGAACCCGTGAGTTTGACGGAAGGGTTGCAATCATACCATGGTAACAGATTTAGTTAATTTATATTAAGACTGTTAATATAATTTACAGGTAACCCTCCTCTAACACGGTAGATAGGTTCCTAGAAAATGCCGTGTTGTATGAGACCCATAGCCAGTGCAAAAAGGCGAGTTACATTCCGAAAACTTATTAAAAACAAATTTTTCTTTAATTCTATATAAACAACTTAATTTTTATTAAAACTGTAAATGTATGCACAACACAAAGCAAAAGCAACAAAAATATTATTTTAATTTAACGCAACTTTAATTTAATAAATTTCTTGCTCAGTATAATCACTGCTCAGTATAATCAATCGAGAACGATGTTTTCGGTGGAATGATATCGCCTTCACTTTCAGAAATTTTTTCTTCATTTAAAGTTCTTGCATCTTCTTCCCTGTTAAAAAAATCTGTAATTTCACTGCTTGCTGGTTCTTACGATGGTAAGCCTCGCCGTGGCTGTAGAAGTACAGTGTTGTATAAAAGTTTTTGCAATTTTCTTATCTTGTTAGAGCGAAACCGTGTTTGTAGGAGGATTCCCGCAATTTATGAATCGCGTTATAGTATAACCGTGTTATAGGATGCCGTGTTGAAAGAAGGCTACCTGTATAATTGTTTTTAAATTAAACTAATCTTTAAAAAAAGACACGTGGTCTCCTTTACCTGTCAATTTGACAGGTGTCCTTAGAAACAGGTATACAGATAGCGTCCGTAAACCTAGTGTTAATAGATCCGCTGAAACTCCGCGCTTAGATCGCGCTTGTGCCGTCATCGAAGTCCCTCGACTTTCGTTTTCGGTTGCTTTTCGGTTACGAAAAAATTCTTCGAAATTTAATTTTCTTATCACGTTCGCTGACAGATGGAACGTAGATCTACGGCTAGATCTAGCAGCGTGGAGTACAGCGATGGAACTGGAATGTATCGAGTTCCTCGAATCCCAGGACTCAGTCGGAATAGCACCGCGCTAATCAAGGAGACCACGACCACTCTATTACAAACACAATTCCACGGTTTACGACCGGGGGAACAACTGGTCGGACACCCACGATCCGTGCAACCCGGTAGTTCCTCCGGAAACCCTGCAGTTTCGTCCATTAATCGCCCTATCGTGGATGCAACGCCGCGACAGACAATCCTTCCACTCCTGTGTCCCTTTCCCAGCCGAGTTTACACCGATAGGAAAGGAAATCCTGCGGTCAAGTGGTGAAAAGGGCCTAGGTACAAAGCGGATTATGTCGATTCTCGGTTAGAACACGGAAAGGCTTACGCCACCACTCGCGATGCTTCCCGAGGCGAAACCCTTTCCGTGTCCGTTTCGACACTCGAGAGGAGGGAATTACCTGGCCTACCTTTCGGCTGGTCGTAAACTTTTACTGCGTTTTCTGGTCAGTGCGGTTTTTTCGATCCGTTCACCGAAAGAAAGGTGAAAGGGTTGTTGTTGCACGGGCTGAAAGGGACGTTCGTGCCGCGGCTCGTTAAGGACACACGACGAAAGGGTTGCTAGGGAGGGTCGCCTAAAGCCGGTAAATGGCAGATTACCGTCGCCCCTTTGTGATCATGGGCCCCCTGACAGACATTTTATGGTCCTCCACGGCGAATCTCTTTGCCGGAGTGGTCTCTAAATTTCCTTTTCCTCGATCCTCTTTTCTCTGCATTTCGGTCTATTCCCGTTGATTCTAATGGTAAGCTTGGCAGGATTTATTTGTTTTCCTTTGGCAGCCATCGACTGCCAGTTATTATTCGGAGAGAATCGATGGCGTGGTGTGATCGAGGTAGCGTGGGGAGGAACAAGTGTGGAGTTCAATGTTACGTGCTACCTTTGGCAGGCCGATGAGTACCTGTAGGTAACACCTGGCGTTTCTTAGAAGCGGAGCAGGCGCCATCGTCGATGACTGTCCCGAAGCTCGTGAAGGTTATGCTAGGTAGATTGGAACCAGTTACCGGCTATGGAATGGAACGGTTGCACGAGGACGAGTTCTGTCTTGGCTTCTCGACGAGGATCCCATTACCGACATAATTGTAACGCTTCTTTAAACCTAATTACTTCTCTCTGTTGCTAATTTCGAGAACATTCTATTCACGGGGAAAGAAAAATCGCATAATCTTAAAGTCAAACGACAAGGAATGCTAGAAAACGTAAAATAATTAAAATTCTTTTCGCGCAATTTAGAAAAATAAAAATATTTGGCCGAATTAATTAAAAGACGTAAATTTGGAAGAAATTGATTATCATTGCTGATATTTAATTATTCTCGAGCGAAACATACCCGTGACAAGGCAACCAGGTGCCCGGTACTGTAAGCAGTATGGCATACTTCATGGCGCTTGCACTTTCAACGCGATCGGAATTACCAGAGAAAGTGCGTACGTCATTGAACGTTTCTCTATCAAACTTTATTGCTCGTTTCCGGAAATAAAATTCCAAATTAACCCCAGAAAATTCCTCAGCGAGGAAGCGATGCAGTTGGATGAAAATTCGTTCGCTGTTATTCACATGCTTTTATTAACAAATGCGAGGGAGACAATAAATAATCGTGTCGCGCGTGTAATAAATAAGAATCAACAACGTCCTGGCGTACGCCGAAGAAGGCAGACCGTGCTCGAGATCGGCTCGAGATTCGCCCTCTTCGACTCATCGATCGAGCCAGGCGCTCTCCTCTCTGTCCCGTCGAGTTCCTACCGATTCGATTACCCTCCAACGCATAAACGTGTCGCTGAACAGCAGAGCAAGTTCCGTTCCTTCGTCGTGTCCGCGATCGACGAGCAATTTCCTATACATCGAGAACTCGATAAACGAACCGATCGTTCGCGCGACGAAGTTACGGAACTGCTTCTCCGCTCTGAATGGCAGAATGATCGACAGTCTTCGGCCGATCGATCGCGTGGCTCTAGCCAATCGTCGACCGACGATCGTCCGATGTGGGTTCAGGGTTATTTGGCGTGCGTCTCTTTGGTCTCTCGATCGTACCGATCGATCCGTCGTTAAGAAGATGAGTTAATCGGGGAATGAATCGTGGCGTCGGTGGCAATCCACGCGTATCCGTAATCGCGGTCTAGTAGTTCGACGAGCTGCCTGGATTGGCCGACGACGAGGACGACGAGGAAGACGACGAGGGGCTGTACGAGCCCGAGTTGCTGCCTGGCGAGTAGTAAGAGTAAGCGAGATTCTGGGCTTCCACGCCGTTGGTCGGCGTCCAGACGCGGGAGTACGGTCCGTTTCCGTCCCACGAGTTGATCTGTTCGTAGGTGGTCGTGGTCGTGGACATAGGTGGAACTCCGTATGCCGGTGTAGCCGGTTCCATCGACATTCCTGCAACAGGAAGTTTCACCGTTTTCACTTTTTCTCCCAGCTGGAAAAATTGCTCGACGCGCTCCTACGCGATTTCGTTAGGTCGTTAAACACCGATTTGTTATAGCCGCGATATACGTACCCATCGGCATCATCATCCCACCCTTCTTGAAGAACTGCACAGCGATGAATCCGACGACCAGGAGGATCGCGAGTTTCGAGAGCACCAGAGCCTTGAGGGCCTTCAATCCGACGATGGCCACGAGGATAGGCATCAGAGCCTTCATTTTCAGCTTCAACAACAAGAGGAACGGCAACAGCAACTTCTTCTTCAGGATTCCTCTAGCTTGACTGGTAGCGACGTCGTTTCCCTTGAACTCCACGTCCAAATCGGCCAAACTCCTGCTGGGCCTGTACTTGAGACCGGCGTCCACGAATGGCAGGTCGATGCCGTAGTCGAAGCTCTTCAGGTACTTGAAGGTCCTCGCTACGATGGCCTCGTCGACCGTATCCAAGGATCTGGCTTCCGTACTGGTCCCAAGCTTCTCGTCCAAGTACCCGAGCACCTCGTGCTTCAAACAAGACGTCCAAGACTCTGCGGCGATGCACTCGTTGAGAGTCTTGGAGAGGAAGTCCTGATTAGCCGTGCAGCTTGCTGCCATCAGCGCGACAACTGCTACGATCGTTCTCATCCTGTCTTCGTTCCTCTGTCTATCGAGTAAACAATCCTGGATCCTCTGCGCTGGGTCTTCTACACTGTACTTTTCTCGAACGAAACGCGAAACGATCGATCCTCCACCCGTGCGTGTGCGAGCGAGCGATCGCCGATCGAACTGCGACTGACGGAGGAGTGGCCCGCCCCTTTTATTTAATTTGCCCCCCGCGAATCTATGTTATTCGGTCGCGCATGCCGGGAATCGACGATCGAAGGAAAATTATTCAAATTTCACTGGCACATAGAGCGGCTTCTCCTCTACACCCTCTGCCTCCTCGCTACTTAGCTACGTGCGTGCACGCGTCCCGACGCGTTTACGAGCGCGTACGTATGTAGCCTCGCGTACCGCGTACACCATGGCATGCGCGACGCCGAGCCGCACGGGAAACGGAACTTGTCCCGCGTTCCCCGGCCGATTCTCAACTTGGCCGTCGTTTCTAACGTCCCACCGACGCACACGCGATCCCCTATGCCTTCTATGATCCTAGACGAGCACGTTTTCGGCCTATGCCTAACCGTTCTCGTTGTACGTCGACGGGTGGCCGGCGAACGGGAACACGAGTCTACAGCCACGATTTTTGGCCGTTTCACGCGGTCATATATGGATCGCTGGAATGCTCCGATGGGTATTAATGGGTCGAGCTGGATCGAGTCACTGGTATCTAGGTTTTATCAATGATCTTGCTGTTTTCCGCATTTCCTAGTGACGGCAGTGATAGTTTGGTGTTTCATAGGGACAACAGGGTGACTTGGCATGATCTAGGTATTGCTTTCATAGGATACTTTGAGGAATTTTTAAACGTGAATCTGTCACGCAGAATTCCAAGTCTTTAAATGTATAGATTTATCGATAATTATTTACTATAATTCGTTGATTGAAATATACACGTTTCTGTATTTATTGGTCACACTGTACGCCATTCATAACAAGAGCACGATAGTAATCTCGTTTAACAATTACACTTAGCGCAGTCCTTATATCAAAGATAATTCCAGGATTAAATTTAGAATAAATTTTTTTGAATAAGTATGGTGTCCATACTTCTCACATTTTGCATTAAATTATTTAATTAAATAGTATTAGTGGACTAATTTAAATAATTAGCACAGTCCTTATATCAAAGGCAATCCCCAGGATTAAATTTTGAATTAATTGTTTTAAGTATGCATAGTTTCTATGTTTCCTAAATTTCTGTATTTTGCATCGAATTATTTAATTAGACATTATATATCGGAAGTATGGTTACGTATCGATCACAACGACGATCTAATCTCGTTCTCACAAAAATGGGGGCCAAAGTTCCTATATCCAAATTAAAGAAAGGTATAAAATTCACAATTTTAGGTCACAACGACGATCTCATCTCGCTATTGCAAACATAAGGGAAGAAGTTCCTATATCCAAAACAAATAAAGAAATAAAATTCACAATTCTTGTATTTCCTATGTTCCCCAGGCAATCTAATCTCGTTCTCATACAAACGAGTGACAAGGTTCCCACATCCAAATTAAATAAAATAATAAAATTCACAATTCTCTCTATTTTAGGTCACAACGACGATCTGATCTCGCCCTTACAACCATACCCTTACAAACATAAGGGATAAAATAAATAAAAGAATAAAATCCACAATTCTCTTTATTTCCCAAATTCTTCCATTTTCTATATTCCCAGTTTTGCATAGCCACACATTGCAAAGCACAGATTATTTACAGTGCAACCGAAAAATCGAAACCCGTTAGTCCACGTATATCCTGCAAAGCAAATCTCGCTGAATTTGCCTCGCTTGTCTCCTGCAAGTTGACAACGATTACGCGATCCCGACCCTATAAGAGCGAGGAAGGAAGTCGGGAATAAAACGAGATTTCGGGCAAAGTGGTGTTTAAAATGCGCAAAGTGTCCGGGAAGAAAAAGGAAAGCGCAGAGTGCAGGAAGGTCGCCGGATTTCCATTTCGCAGGACTGTACGGCCGGGATGGAACGGCGGTTTGCAGGCCACGCGAGGTAGCCGTGTCTGATCATTATCGGGCATAATCTCCTTGCCGAACCGGCCTACGCTCGGTCTAGAACTAGACCTCGCTCCGGGACAATTTCGCGTGACGTTTTTATAATTAATCGCCACGGAGGACAGATCGCGTCAATTAGGGTGAGGAAGGCGTGACGTTAAGCGGTGCCATTTATCCCGTTAAGCTGCGGGGTAACTCGGATCGTTAATGACTCGAGCACGTTATCGCGGGACGATGAACGTGGTGGTTTGAAACGGTCTCACGCTGCACGTCGAACGAGCATCTGTCCTGGTCGGGTGTTACACGAGACCTCGGGTCCCTTTAACAACGTTCCCTGATAGGCAGTTCTCTGAATGGGGGCCTATCAGTGAATGAACGAGCGCCCATTCATGTCCTGTCGCCCTCGTAATTGAACGATCATTAGGATGATGATAGTAATAACGCGTTTTTATTGCACGCAGGCTGCGTTACGCGCAGCAGATAAAGACGTAATTGTCGTGCAACCGCGGGCTCTAGGACTGCCGCTTATTATAACGTTAATCCGGATTATCACCTGCTGCAGATTATCTCGCAGATTATGATCGCGAGCTTTCTTTTCTTCGCGAATACTCTGCAATTACATCGACACGAGGCCCGACCGGTTAACTCCGATCTTAGGATCTTTGCACCCTTATAAATAATATCCTCAACGAGCTTCCGTCCTGCTATTTCGCATTACCAGAGCGCGCTTCTGACACGTACGCGGCGAACGCCATTAAGTCATCATCGTCGTGTACGCAGGGAGGAAGTCAGTCAGGTGGAGTAAATTGCAAGAATAATTTATTAAATAAAGAGTACAGAGGAGAGGTGGAAGACAGGTATTTTACAAAAGTCGCGGTAGTGAACGGGAATGGCGGGCGAGCGGTTTACGACTGCGCGTGCGCGGAATACGCGAGGTTCTGCGCGAACACCGACGAGGGCTGCGCGTCGTCCTGGAAGGACCTGTACTGAGCCTGGTACTCCCATGGCCCGTGAGCGGACAGCGATGCTCCGTGGCTGTCAGCGGCTATCTTCTTGCACAGCTGGAAGATGGCCATGCCGACGGCGACGATGAAACTGAAGAACGAGAGCTGAAGAGCGTTCCAGGCTTTCAGACCGAGGACACCAATAGCCAGAGGGATGAGCGTCATAGCTTTGAGCAGGACAAAGACCAGGATGGGGATGACGACCTTCTTGAGCTTGGACTTGCGAGCCTCTTCAACGGCACGACCTTGACCGAACTTCACGTCGAAGGTGAGCTGATCGTCGTCGATGTTCCTGGCGCTCACCTTCACCGACGACTCCATTGGCAGCTTGAAGGTCACGTCGTGAGAGGACAGGTAGGTCTGCACGTTCTCCAGGAAGGAGCCTTCGCTGCGGCCGGAGACTTCCTCCACGGGGTACGAGTTGCGAGTCACCTCCACGGTTTCAGAGACCTGCGACGGACAAAGGGAAAGTGACAGGGACGTTTGAAGATTTCGAGATGGGGTCGAAACGCGACTTAATTTTCGCTCTCTAAAACTTTCAAACCATAACTGCGACTGTACACTGGTGGTGGTAACTGGTCGCTGTCGAGGTGGTAAAAGTGAAGCGAAAATGGAACGACTTGGCTTGCATAACCGGGCTCGAACGAGTTAGCCGACACTTGCCTTGAAGCTGTCTTTGCGGAAGATCTGGTCGAGAAGGTTCAGGACCTTGAATTTCATGCAGGAAACCTCGTCGTTCTTCTGCGCGCACTCGATCTTCGTCTGGTCCACCATCTGGTCCATGCTGCTACCCTTCCAGAGGTCGTTCTTGGCGGGCTGAGCGGCGGCCAGGGCCAACAGGGAGCACAATACGAACAGCTTCATGGTTCTTCTGACGCGGAGACCGGGACTCGTGATACCCTGAAGAAGGTTCGAGGACTGTCGCTGGGAACAACGATTGTAAGACGACTGATGCCAATGGGTTGGGCATCAGGCTATTTATACCGAGCCCCCGTCGTCGAATAGTCCGACGTTCGTCGCGTAGCGGAGCACCCGGCACACACGACGCCCCCACTTCCATCCGGCCACGAATTTTCTTTTCGTTCAGTATGGTGTTCGATTATCGAGGCCTCGCGTGGTTCGTGACGGGAATACGGGAATATGAAGGATCAGCAAAGCCGAAAGAAAGCTCCACCGACATGTCGGCCGACAGGGTCGCGTGCTTCGCGAAACTCACGAGATTACGCTTCGATAACGATGCACGTAAAATCGTTTGCTCTTGGGATCAATTTCTCTACATTTTTTCTACATTTTTCTACAAGTGTTCCGTCAAATGGTCATTCTTCATTGGGAAATATTTTTATTTACAGTTTGACGATTAATAAATTACGTCGAATATTTTTCTAACAAGTATTCGCGATGATACTGTGTTAAATGCGTTAATCATAATAGGGCTAGTAGACTCGATATCGGTGTACGCTAGAGGATTCGGGATCGCTTGACATTCATACCAAAGTAGTCAAAATATCTATCATTTCATTAACCTCGATCATGTATCGATATGAGAATCACCTCACGCAATAAAACGGGCGAACTTTCGAATATTTGGCCTGCTATCATACAGCATCGTTTCAGGTAGCAAAGCGGAAGTGGCGTGCGCACGCCAGTAAGAGCAGAAGTCCCTTCATCCTTGGCACCAATGGCACCGTAACATTGGCATTGAATCGATCGCTCATTCACGCCACGAACTCGACACTTTCCACACGTCTGCTTCGTTAAACCGCCGCGTTCCCCACCCCTTTTAAATACCCGCGAATATTTTTCAGCGAATTAAACAACCCCCAACGTTGCTGTTACATCCAATCAAGAATCCCAAATTTTAGCAAATAGCATCCGAAATTTTACACGATTCTTTAACAGAGCTTCCAATTTTGATCGTAACTCGTAGCTTGTAAAATAAATTCTTACTTCAGGGATGATGGAAAGGGAGAGTAATTGCTCGAGGAATATTTATAGACAGTGCTTTCTATTTTATTTATTTCGCGAGACTTGTTTCGTCAAGAAAGAAAAATATTTCCTTCGTTTCTAAATATCGGTTCGAAAGGGTTCACAGGTTTCATCCTCCGATGGACCCAGTGGAACCACGTGCGTTAGTAGATCCTAAACGAGAATCCTCTAGTCGCATCAGAAATGCGCGTTGCGTGCGAGTTTCTCGTGCGAGAATGCGCGTGGGGTTGCGAGGAGACACTTTTGTCCGCTTTGCCCGACTTCCTGCTGCTCCTAACAATGAAGCGGTAATTGGAATTTTGGGTCGAGTTTGCATAAGCATTCAGGACGAACTAGCGCCGATCGATGTCACCTTTTCGACTCTGTTCGGCCAGTCCAATTTTCCCCTCGCGAGTTTCCACGCTCTCGTCCTGCATTTCCCTTGTTCGCGTTCCCCTTTGGCCTTTCGTCGGCCGTGCTTCCGTGACCACGCGAACCTTCAATCGACGTGAGAACGAATACGGGTCCCCGTTCATAAAACTCGGTGAATCATGGGAGGTATCGGAACCCCGACTACGAAGACTACGAACCCCGACGATGTAGCTTCGCGAATCGACGGAGCAAAAGACAGTGTGAACTTTTACTGTTCCACAAACGGCTTGAAACGACGCAGTGGTATCCGATCGACCCAATTACACCCACGACGCTGGATTTCCAGCGGATTTGCCTACAACGAACGCTGAATCCCCAAGTAACCCTTTCCACTTTCTCCATCTTTAAATACCCGCTTACGTCCGAGCCATTCCCGTCGCGTAGGCAAATAATAAAAAGGAAAGTAAATCATCGAGCAGCTCGTTTCATTCCCCGAAGATCGGGTCGAGAGTGACAGACATCAGACACAATTTCGATGAGACCATGTAAGAAATTTTATTTATAAATAAGTCAGTGTCGTGTGCGAATAAATAATAAATAAAACGATCTAGGGGATGGGCGCAGCTCGAGTTCCAGCTTCAGCTTATTTCCTGTAAGCTCTGTAGGGTCCATGGGGCGACGTGTCCCAGTGGGGTGGGTGCTCCACGGGTGGGTGTCCGTAGTGGACCACCTCGTAGGCGACCTTGGGTTTCGTGAACTTGAAGATCATCATGGCTCCGCTGAGCACCAGCGAAAGGAGTCCCAGTGTCAGAGCTTTCCACGTTTTCAGCGCGATCAGGGCAAGAGCGAGCGGTACCAGGGCTGTGGCCTTGAACTTGAGACCCAGGAGGAACGGGATCATCACTTTCTTCACGAATCCACGGCCTGTTGTCCATGTCATTTAAACAAATATATATATCGAGTTATAATTCCGATCGAGTTGTTTCGATTACGTTTATTCTTGAAAGCAATTTTCTTACCTTGACCGTTCGAGGAGTCAGACAGGGGAACAGTCAAGCTCGTGGGCATGCTGTCCACCAAGGATCTCGGTACGATATCGGATCCAGCGATGGCTTCCGGTAGTTTAGCCTCCAACTGGTGACTCGACAGGTACGCGTCCAGTTTCTCCAACATCAAGGACCTCAGCAGTTCTCTCCTAGCTGGGTCCACGGAGTCGTACTGCGCGGGGTAGTACTCCTCGCTGCTGTCTTCGGGCAAGTCTCTGGACTTCACGATCGCCAAGTCGTCCGTGATGGCCAGCTTGTCCTGCTTCACAGCGTGACTCAGGTACGCCAGGACTTTGGGTTTCACGCACGACAACATGGACTCGTTGTCTATGCATCTGCAAGATGAAACCGATATAATTAATTTCGCACCGAATTCCAATTGGAATTTCAATTTCCAACTTCCAATCTTCCACTGATGCCCACTCTCACCTGTAATAAATGTTTCGAAGGGCGTCAGTCGTGGTCTCGGTCCTCTCCGCGGCGGCGAGGGCGGCCAGAAGGGCGACAGACGAGACGATCGTTGTGAACTTCATGACGGTACCCACCGATTTGCCAAGCTAAACACCGAATGCCGGCTCGAACGAAGACAACGCGGTTTTATAGCCGATGGAAGCCACGTACGACCGATGAATTTTGATCAGGGACGTGTGGCCGGCTGAAAGGAAAGAAGAAAGCCTCATTATCTAGGGTGCCGATGTTTTCACGGCTCCGCGCTCTGTCCCTGCGAGACGATTTTGGTTTCGGCATCCACCGTTTCCGGTCGTTCCGGGTCCCGTGCCTGGCCTGTGGAACCGCGTTCGCGAGGTTTCTCGACAGGTGACGTTCGCGAAACGTCACGCGGATTCGGATTTCGCTGATTCTCCGTGACGACGTTTCGAAAACCAGGCAGGTGGTTCGTCCAAGCGGTGGAAAACTAACGACCACGAAGTGAAATTGCACGAGCGACGATCGTGAGAGGAGAATAGATGAAAGTAAAAACGGCTTATGAACGGGGAATAATGAGAACCGATGGAAACTGGATAGAAAGTGATTTTATATGGGGATACGAATTGCGCTTGCGCAAGATTCGAATGAATGGACGATGCAGTGTTTGTTTTCTTGAATAACCTATGAATCGGGAACGTGAGTCTTCCTCACATGTTACTATCACACCACTTCGACTCTATGCAGCGTAACCGATAATTCAGCCATTTGCTGCACGAATCGATTAATTCCACTTTTTGAAAAATCTTAAATTCAAGTGCCAAAGTGTCAGTTGGTATAGTTGTAAGTTTTTATATTTAAGATTTTTCCAAAAGCGGAGTTAATAGATTTGTGCAGTGAACGGAACAATTATGACAGGAATTGGAGTAATCAAATTTTCATATGAAATTTTTGATAATTATTGAACGTTTGTTTTTGACGGTGATTAAGTACGACGCTATACTGGTTGGTCTTTTCACATAATTTATTACGAACAAAACAACGATACACGTTAGAACTTCGAGGTAGTGTTCGAAGTATCGGTTGATCTTTGTACAGTACATAACTTATGATCTAGACATAATCGACTTGTTAAAGCGCATAATAAATAATAACTGGGTATGGCACCCGAGAACGTGACGATTAATAATCGTATGGAAAAATAAATAGTTCCTGGTATCTAATATTAGGACTTTCATTTTCGTAGGTATTCGTAGAAATAAAATATCGACGTACAGTTGCGTTAAATTATTTATAAATTACAGTATAAGTTACCACTCGTGTATGCACACCGTTACCATGCTATATGTAACGTCACGGAGAAAGCAAGTGGTCTCTTAATAATACAAAACACACATCAGAGAAGATCCGATATAGTCGGAATAGCCGACGATATTGAAATTAACCTAAATCATCAAATGTCGTATGCATAATCCCGTGCATGAGTTGCATTTCCCCTGCTTTTCCGACAAAGTGTCAAAATATTTCACAATATTTGACGTTTCGTCGGAAAAGATCACCCAAGGCTGGACAAACGCAGCAATTCCTCGACAAAATGGCCTATTTACATCTCTAAATAGAACGTACCACGTTACATCGATCAGAAAGCTCTTTCGTTCTCGTTCAATTTAACATTCAGCCCATCGCAAATTCCGCGCGACGTCGGCACAAGTATAAGCGCTACTTTTCAAGGAACAATCGGAGCACTTGTAACATACCGGAAAGAGTATGCTTATTATCGCACAGTGCTTCAATAAAATCGGGTACGAAATCATCTGACATCCTTCCAGCGAAGGAATCGAGCCATAAACTCGTTGCGAACAGATAACCTGCATTCGTGGCCGCCTAAACGGCGCCTAGCGGAACAGACCAGTGTAACTCGTATCGGAGACTTCGATGCGTGGCGCGGCGTGTGCCCGGAGACTTCGATGCGCGGAGCAGCGTATGCCGGAGACTTGAACGCGTGGTCGGCGCGCATGCGTCCCGCGACGATGCTTCTTCAAATCCTCGAGAAAAATCCGCGCCCGGTTTATTCGGTATTTATGTGACAAGGATACGTTCTCAGACAGTCACCACCATCTTGACCCAATCTGGCAGCGTTCAGGTATCTGTGGAACTTGTGGCTGGACGAGCTTTCGGTCCCGGTCCGCTTCAACTCTTGCGGGTCTCTGAAAGAGCGAAAGAAAAATGAAAGATCGAGCTGCTAATGCACTCTTGACACCGTTCCCTTGACCATGATTGCGTCCAGTAGACACTCGTGATACTTTCGCCATTTAGCGACTCTGGCTGCGCTAACAAGGTGATCTCTCTTTAACAAACGGAAGACTATCCAGTTCTCAACGAGATCGAGTTACTTCCAGCTGGAACTAATGATCCCGGATTTTCGATTCGAGGGGCCAGCTTTATCGCTGTTCCCCCGAAGAACGCGGAAAGAAAAGAACGCAGGAAGAAAATGACTGAGGTTCATGTGGAACGTGATTCAACGTTCCGATTCGGAGCGATGGCCACCTTTCTCTTCGTGATCGACGCCCGAGGTGATCGAATTCGAACGTGGCGCACAGGTGAATGTATAATTAACGGAACGACGATCGAATTCTTGCGTAATTTATGCAGCGACTGGTGCTAACCGCGGTCCGCTACCCCGCGACCTTGAACGCAATTTTTCGCGTTTGATAGTCGAAACGAGATAACCACGTCCCAGTTTCCACGCTTTCCAACGCGTCTGCCGCGTTAAACCAACTTCCTCTCGGCGGTAATAACCGTATTCGCCGTGCATTTATTTTCAAGAGCAACGCGAGGGATCGGTTAATTGTACGCCTGGTATTCCCCTGCTTACCTGGACAGTTCGTTCGAAACGAGATTACTGTGCGGAGTGTACACAGCCGGATTCTTGTACATGCTGCAGACCAGCCTCTCTCTGCAGGATTCCTCTGCGAATCTCAGCTGCTTGAATATGTCCTCCAGCCTGTTCATTATCGGCCCGTAATATTCGTCGTCGTACCCCTGACGTTGCACCGTCATAGTAGGCTTCGAGTCCAGCTGACTGCTCTTCGCAGAGACCTGTCTCACATTTTGTTGCCCGAACGCTGTCTGATGAGAGGCCTTCACGTTCGTCGCGATGGGCAACATCGTCGGTGGCAGATTCGCGGGATTGACAGGAACGTTGACGATCGAGGGTGTAGCAGACTGCAGTACTCGACGATTGTTCTCGGCGTAAGCGGAGTAGGCTAAATTATGCGCCGCCATCGACGGTCGTTTTTCTAGATACGGAGACGCTATTGGCTGAGCATTTGGCGCGTACTGCGGAACACCAAACGCTCCGGAGTAAGTGGGTGCTGGGAAAGGCGCTGGATACACTCCAGCTGGTCGAGCTGGGACCGTGCCAGCGCCAATGGGCTCTGGCTGAACGTCGTAAGGCTCCTCGTAGGGTTCAATGCCCCATTCCTTCAATTCCTCGATGTCTTTTCGATACTGTATGTGAGGATGAGCGTAATCGTAGCCGTCGAAATCTTCTTCGTTGTGATGGTGATGGTGATTGTAATAGGTTGGCACCGGTACCGGAACCGGGACGTGATGATGGTGATGCGCTATCTGAAATGCAAATGGAGTATTAATAACAGTGCTCGTCTATGGGCATTCGAGAGCCTCCGAGTAGCAGTAACGATTACTTGGTGATGATGATGGTGGTACTTGGTGCTGTGCGCGGAGTAATAGCTGGAGCAGAGCTTGAAGACGTGCGCGAATGCCGGTATGAAGAAAAGCAGCAGCTTCAGGAACAGCTTCTTCGCGGCACCCACGCCGAACAGGAATGGTATGACGAACATGAACTTCAGCTTGATCAGCTTGATGATGAGCAGAAGGGCTAGGAAGCTCGTCATCAATTTGTTCTGTATAAATTTCCCTGAAACAGCAATGACATCGATTAGCCTGTCAAATTAGAACGTCGAGTTTCTATTATCGCGTGTCGAGTGGGTATCGTACTAATTTTCTTGAAGATCCTTCCTTGGCTCTCCATCTCGCGCTGGCCGAAGTCCACTCTAACCAGGGCGCCATTCTCGTCCACCTCGCGCGGGCTTATCTTGATCGTGGCTCCCTCGAAGAAAAAATCGGGTAACTGGACCTGATAGTCCCTGGTGGCGAGAAACTTCGCCGCCTTCTTCCTCAACGCGTTAGTCACTTCCTCCAAAGGTGACTGTTCCTCCTCGAACTCTCGACCTCCTTCCTCCCCCTTCCCCCCTTCACTTTCCTCTTCGTCGCAGCCATCTTTCCCGAAACCATCCACCAGATTCTCGTCCATGGAATCGTCCTGATCACCCTTCCTGCGGCACGAGCCGTAATCCAAACTGTTCCTCGTCATGGTCAGACCGTCGAACACGGTGATGTTGCCCTGATCAACGAAAACATTGTCCAGATAGGTGTAAGCGTTCTTCTGGATACAGGAGAACGTCACCGATCGATCACAGTCTGTCAGCAGTCCTCTCCACAGCTCGTTTCCGGTCTCGTTCGCAGACAGGCCATCGAATTTGAAGATCTTCGCGTACGTCTTCAGGTTCTCGAGGCTGAAGAACTGGCCCGATGAACTCGCGCGCGCCAGGCAGAAACACACGAGCGCAATCGCGTATCTAAGATGCATTCTCGGGGACCAGATTCGTGACAGCGGCTACTCGTTGCGACAGACCCGATGGAACTTCACTCGCGCCTCGTGGAATAGAACAGGAAACGCGATCCGGTTGGCGAACCGGCAGTTAGTCCAAGCTCGTTAAGTAGACCAGGTGGCACAGCGACGATTAATGCACTTTTGATTTCGTCAAACCGACATCACCCTATCCACGTGCACCTTTTAACACTTCCGCTGCCCCCACCAGCAGCCTCGACCTGGATATCAACCTCAATGAATCTCACACCTCTCCCGAACGCTCTAACGATCAGCGATTGGACAATCTCGATCCTTCAGCACCGCTCAATACCGTCGCATCGCTGACGACCCGTCTACCCGTACGACATGTCCGTGTCACCTGGCCGGCATGTCACGTCGTCCTCGTCCTGGTCCGGCTTCTCTGTCCTCTCCGTACCCTCTCGACGCGTTCCGTTCGATCTCCCGCTCAAAACTAACCACAAGCTTCTCGGTTCTCGGTTACAATTCACCTGAGCGTCAAGTGTGTCAAAGGCCCTCCTACTCCGTCCGCGGCCGCTCCGTGGAAGGTCATTATCGTCTCCTCTCCGACTGCAACCGGCCACGCGTCCAGCTACACGCGCGCGCGTCTTCCAAGGCGTCCGAGCTGATTTTCGACTTCGTATGCACCACCAGAGGAAGATTCTTGGCTGAGTTCGCGGTGAAAGCGGCCGGTAATGCTTGCTAAATTTGTCAACCGTTTCGCGTTGCTCTTCAGTCGCTTTGAGCAGTAAACAGGGCGTTCTGCTAGTCACTGTGACACGGTCACGTGCTAAGTTGCGGGTTCTCGTGGAAATCGGAAGCCATGCGAACCACTGAGAGCTTCCTCATTCAATTTGTAGTTTCTTTGACAGCATCTTGCCAAGCTTGCTATCTATTTATACTTCAACTTTGTATACTCGCTCGTGCATCCATTGCCACGATTAGATACAAGCTCGGCTACACTCTGTGGACCCAGTGATCCATCTTGGACTCGTCTCGCTTGTTATTCCTCGCTGAAAGAGCACAGGTCGCCAATTGACACTTGGTTGCACGTTTGACGCATTACACCGTTAACAAAGAGTCGTTTGTAACTGTGCAAGAGGCAAAAACGGAGAGTAAATGTCATCGTTGCTAGTGTAGCTTCTTCTGTCTGCTTCAATTGAAGCCGCGAATCGCTGGACCGTTGCGAGGCGCTGTTTATGTGCCAGCAGACCGGTCTGACACGAGTTCGCGAGTGATCTCGATTCGATTGCCCCGCGATCACGCGTCTAGGATCGCTTCTCGCGGGGACAATCCTCGGAGTAAACATGAAAATATCAATGACAAAGTGGGACGCGAGAGTGAAATTCGGAGCGTATGGCGGAAAACGAAGCGCGGATCGAAGAAACGCAGCGAGCGGAATATTAAGCAACCCCGGCTGTTCCTTATTTTTCGTATCGAGGTTAACTGTCGTGGAACACGTAGCAAAATCCGAGATTCGACTCGGCTAGGAAGAGGAAGTAATTGCATGCCGATCTGGAGCATAGTCCGAGCCGATCGCTCGCTTTTTTCCGATAGTCATCCGTTTCGTTTATGCTCCTCGCCTTCCTCTCGACAATATCTCTTTGTGATCCCAGGATGTTTTAATGCTGGAATTACCGACCTATAACGAATAGCTAAATAATATACACCAATGATAATTATAATGCTATCAGGAAAATTGACAGTTACGTATAATCGCATTTGCGAGAGGACATACCCTCAATTTCACTGAAAGCAGCTATATCTTTTCAGAAATTGCGAAGATAACATTTTTACGCAACGTGGTATATGCATCCTTAATTATGAAACTGGTTTCACACTAAATCTGTCACCACCAATTAAATGATTGGTAAAACAATTGAAAAGAGGATTCTCGAAAAGAAAAAGGACGAAGAATTAAATTTATGAATATCAGAAGAAAAATGGCGAATGCGAAATTTTTAATTTAAATTTTAAAATCGTTCATTTAGGTCAGCTTCAGCTGTCAGGTTCAGTGTTAAACATATCGTTAAACATCTCGTTCCGTTTCGAAACATAAAGTTTCGCGATTTGAATATAATATAAATTAGAATCGTTTATTACAATGGAAACGAACGCAGCAGAAAATAAACGATGAAATCCTTTTAAATTCCTGTCTTACTAGACCACTTTCATAATTAACGGTACACACTTATGTTCTGCTGTGTGTTCCTGGGTTAAATATCGATGGACTCGTGTCCATTCACAGACATGTCCATCATCCTGTTAACTGTCAATATCGAAAACTAACTTTTATTTTTCGCTTAGCTTTTTATCCACTTCTCAGCTCATCGATTGGTCTCTCGTTCGATTTCAGATCGTTAAGCTGTCGGATAATTTTTACAATAAAATGGTTTCTACCTCGGTGGAGAAGCTGCTGTCGATTGCTATCAAAAGTGGATCTCGTTACGTCAGCGTGGAATTATCCACGAATTAATCGGAGATCCCGATTCCGAGGCTTGCGTTGATGCGTGAAGCACATAGCTACACCATAAACTACGAATTCTCGGACGGAACGGCTACTGAGTTTTCACTAATCGTTGGTGAAGGTGTTCCCATTATCGGGATCGGTGGCTCCGACGTCACACGGCAACCTACATTCGAGTGGAACGCACGATAAGCGTGTTATCGAGCAGATGTGAGATCGATCTCGTCGATCGTCCCGGAGAAATGGTTTCAGTGTCGTTCCTAGCCGGGGTTCGATGGGTAAACGCGACCTTGAAGCCGGAAACGCACCGACGTTGTCCATTATCCTCGAGTCACCGCGAAGATTACGAATAATTGCAGTTCGCAGAGGATTACGAGTAATTATCAGACCTGGCCTCGAAAGAGGACAATTTCACTGGCAGTCTACTTCCACGTATCGTTCCATCGAATCTCGTCCATTGGTGATCGATCGACATCGATTGATAGAGAGAAAGAAAAATTCGATGAATATTGACGAAGATTGGAAGAGATCTACTGTGCGTTGCCAAGAAGAAGCGATATTGAAATCAGGGAAGAGGAATGGCAGAATAGTTCGAGTGTTTAGTTTGATTATGTCTTTATGGATATATTATTCAGGTTAGTACATTGTTGTAATAGGATAAGTTATGATTTCTGTGCGTTGTCATTGTCACTACTTTACGTTGGCAGCATTGACAGTCTACGTTGATGAGTTGAATTGATATAGTTAGGGTAACGCATGGTATAAAGTATATTTTGATATACTTGGTATGACTATATTTTCTCTGATATAGTAATTTTATATTTATATTAAGGATAATTTATGATTTCTGTGCGTTGTCAGTGTCACTTCTTTGCGTTGGCAGCGTTGACAGTCTACGTCGATGGGTTGAATTGATATAGTTAGGCTAACGTAGTAGTAAAAAGGATACTTTGATATATTTGGTATAACTATATTTTCTGTGATATAGTAATTTTATATTTATATTTTATATTTCAAATTTATTGTAAATTTATATTTTATATTGAGGATAATTTATGATTTCCGTGCGTTGTCAGTGTCACTTCTTTGCGTTGACAGCGTTGACAGTCTACTTCCATGGATTCAATTAATATAATTAGGCTAATAAAAAGGCAGTGGTAAAAAGTATATTTTGATATTCTTGGTATGTCCATATTTTCTTTGATACGGTAATTTTAAATTTATATTTTATATTTCAAATTTATTGTAAATTTATATTTTACGTTAACTAATTAATATTAATTTCGCGTCCGCATTAATGCTTCATAAAGTATAGAAACGATATTAAGAACTCGTTCAATTTCTTTGTCAGTCAAGTACAGTGTAAAATAACAGCATATTTTATTCATTTTGTAAAGAAGAGAAATTATATTCTCTCTACAAAGAAAGATAAAGAGGTTTCATAATTTCCATGAAAAATGTTTAATATTTATAGCGTTCCTCGTTTCTTTTCACGTTACTCGCAGCGCATGTTGATATGGCCGCGTTTGTACACACGACACCAATAAATACGGTACTTTCGATGGATAATGAGAATTCGAGTGCTCTAGCTGTGTAATCGTGTTGGAGATCTATTGCACAATGATCGATCAAACCCACTTTCCATCGAATTCCAACTTACAATATCTCGATCTTTGCTGTTCCACCCCCCACAACCCCATTTTCAGATTTTAATCATTTTCTTTACAGATCTATCTCATTAATTAATCAAATTTATGTCACTAGCTTCGCAAAATAAAGTTCTTTTTACGATAATAAAAATTCTTCTTTCTTTTTATTATAATCAGATGGAAAAAGATATACCTATACCTTACAGAAGACTTTGTCTCATTTCCAGACAATAATTACCATTTCGTCTATTACTGCAGGAAAACACACGTAAATCAAACAGAACACCATCCTTTGTGAACCAGTGACACTAAATAACTTGCGTTATTCTCGAATAGAGACGTGTTGTCTTTGCTATGCAAATAACGCCTATTTCGTTCACGGATTTTACGAGCCTCAGTCTTTCTTCAGGCACAGGTGTGCAAACGTGTAAATAAAGGTGCTGGTACAACGAATGAAAGCCTGAGTAACGTTTAGTTGTAGGATTACCATTGCTGGAACCTAGAAAAATAATTTCATGCGACCTGTGCGATCCATGGATCACCTATTCCCGTTGCAACGAGGATGACACACTGGGTCTTCAACCACCGTTTATTCCTTCCCATACACAGTATTCCAAAATATTTAAAACACGTACGGCGACCGGTGGAAAACCGTGGAAACTCGTGGAAAATGGTGGAAACCGATGAAAACCCGTGGAAAAGCTTGGAAATTCGTGGAAGCCCATGGAAATTCGTGGTAAGCCACGAAAATCCACGAAACCAATGGAGACCCGTGGAAATCTTTAGAAACCCGTGGAAACCCGTGGAAACACGTAGAAACCCGTGAAAACTCCTAAAAATCCATGGAAAACTTTGGAAATACA